TTTCCGGGAGAGATAGTTCCGGCTGGGGGTTCCTGGACAAGCCTCGTGGCGCGTTCGGGAGGATTCCCCGGGAGCTGTGTGAAGTGTTTTCCTGCAGTTTAAAAATAAAGTTTGTTCCTGCTTCAGTGGCTCGTGATTTGTGCCCAGCCAGACTGCGGCAATATGGTTTCTGTTGCAACTACTCAATTCTCCTGTTGTACTAGAAAAGCAGTTATAAACAATACATTAATGAATGGGTGTGGCTGTGTTGCAATAAAACTTTACCTAAACAGACTAAGGTCAAGATGTAGTCTGTGTTCTATGGTTTGTCCAAACACTGCTTTTAACTCTTATGAAAGTATGTCTCATTGTTAGGGATTAATGATTCACAAGTAGCTGAGGTGCTTTCCACAGGAGACATACAATACACTTAGTCTTATAAAATACCTAGAGAAGTCAGGTACAGTGGTGCATACTTGTAATCCCAGTGGCTCTGGAGGCTGAGGTGTGAGGATCACAAGTTCAAAGTCAACCTCAGCAACTTAGCAAGGCTCTAAACAACTCAGTGAGACCCTGCATTAAAAAAATATATCTGTCTGTATCTGTCTATATATCTATATATCTATATATGGGCTGGGGATGTGGCTCAGTGGTTAAGTGACCCTGGGTTCAAACCCTAGTACAAAAACAAAACAAACCAAGTGAGAAGAACACTTAATATTCATAATCTTCTTTCAGTTTTTTTCTTTTTATTCGTTCCTTTTAGTTATATATAACATTGGGATTTATTTTGACATAAAAGCATGGAATTTAGTTTGCTCTAATTCAGTCCCCAGTACTTCTTCTTTCTCTCCCTTCCTCCATTTCCCTGTTCCCTTCCCTCTGTTCTACTGATCTTTTTTTTTAAATAGTTGTAGATGGATACAATACCTTTATTTTTATATGGTGCTGAGGATCAAACTTAGTGCCTCACACATGCCAGGCGAGTGCTCTACCACTGAGCCACACCTTAGCCCTCTATTCTACTGATTTTTTGCTATTTGCTTTTTTTTAAAGTGTGTTGTGGATATACATTATGATGAGATTCATTGTGGTATAGTCATATGTTTACATAGGAAGTTAGGTCAGATTCATTCTATTGTTCTTCCCTTATACCATGCCTTGTTTTTCCTCCTCAATCCCCTTTATCCTATTCACTGATCTTTCTTCTATTTTGATGGAATCTACCCCTTTACCCTTTCTCCCTTTCTTCTACCTCTCTTTTTTAAAAAATAGTTTTTAGTTGTCGATGGACCTTTATTTTATTTATTCATATGTGGTGCTGAGAATCAAACCTAGTGCCTCACACATGCTAGGCAAGCTCATTTCCACTGAGCTACAACCCCAGCCCATCTTCTCCCTCTCTTTTTTTTTTTTTGTAGACTTTTTAAAATTGTTGATACATCTTTATTTGATGTATTTGTTTTTATATGCGGTGCTGAGGATTGAAGCAGTGCCTCACACATGCCAGGCAAGTGTGCTACCACTTAGCCACAGCCCCAGCACCCCCCCCCCCTTTTTGTGGTACTGGGGATTGAACCCAGGGCCTTGTGCATGCCAGGCAAGCACTCTACCAACTGAGCTATGTCCCAGCCTCCCTCTCTTTATTTTGGACTAGCTTCTGTATATAAGATGAAACATTCAATCTTTGATTTTGGGGTCTGGCTTATTTCACTTAGCATGATAGTCTCTATTTCCATTCATTTAATAGCAAATTTCTCAATTTCATTCTTCTTTTTGGTTGAGTAATACTCCTTAAAAATATGAAATGCTTCACTAATTCACATATTATTCTTGTGCAGGGCCCATGCTAATCTTCTCTGTATTGTTCCTATGTTAGTATATATGCTGCCAAAGTGAGCACATAAACTTTTTAAAATGAAAAAGTATTTCTGTCTGTATCTACAATATCACTATATGGGTGCTTGGGTGTACATGGGGCTGCCCAGGAGGAAATGGTGTGTGTGTATGTGTTTGGATGTGTGTTTAGGTACACAGTTATGTGTGCATATGTTTGGTGTATATAATTTCAGTAGGTCTTTTTACTTTTCTCGATATATGAACAAACAATAGAGTAGAGACAGGGGATGAAGGAGAAAGAACAAGGGGAGGGAAAGTATAAGAACTGGGGAGTGAAGTTGACCATATTATGATATGTATGAATACAACACAATGCATTCATTTTTTGGAGGGTACTTGGGATCAAACCCAGGGGCACTTTTAACACTGACGTAATACCCCTAGCCCTTTTATTTTTATTTTGCAACTGGGTCTCCCTAAATTACTGAGGCTGGCTTTGAACTTATAATCCTCCTGCCTCAGCCTCCCAAGTTGCTAGGATTACAGGTGTGTGCTACCACACCTGGCCATTTCATGTTTATTTATAACTATAATGTGCCAATTAAAAATAAATAGGAAGGGCTGAGCATGTAAATCAGTTGTACAGCCCTTGCCTGGTGTGTGTGAGGCACTGGATTTGATCTTCAGCACTGCATAAAAATAAATAAATAAAATCAAGGTATTTTGTCCATCTACAGCTAAAAAATTTTAAAAAAATAGGAAGACCAATAGAGCAGAGGAAGGGGATTCGGGGAGTGAGGATGGGAAGGAAAGTAGAAGTACTGTGGACCGAAATGGAGCAAACTGTGATATGCATTTATGAACATAAATGAACTTCATTATGTATAACTATAATGTACTAATAAAAACATTTTAAAAAGGCACATTAAAATGTTAACTGGTTATCTCTTGGTTTGACTTAGTGGATGTTTTTGACTTAGTGGATGTTTTGAACTTTTTTCTATAATTGTGATGAATTTTCTAATTTTTCTATAATGAATATTTATTACTAAAGGGAATCAGTACAAATCAAAATTATAAGATAATCAAATTTATTTTCTGTGAAGGAGACAGAGGAGAAGAGTGGAGAAGGCACACCAGTGCATAAAAGCTAGGACCAGGAGAAACAGACCGCTCGGGCACCTTCCAAGGTTCAACACATAGGACAATTAGAAATGTTTCTTATTAGTTCCATATTTATCTTCATTGCCTTATCTGTAAAAATGAATCTGAGCTCTTTAAATAGATTTCCTTTTTATCCATCATTTTAAGTTTTGTTAGAAGGCACTAAAGAGACATTAGAAGAGGAAAGCCTTTTGCTTCCTGACCCTGTGTGCTCCTCCAGGGCAAGTGGCTTCCCCAGTGTCCAGCTCCTTTAATGTGGGTGGCTTCCCCAGTGCCTGGCTTCTACAGGGCATGAGGTCTAGCAGCTGTCAGCTAAAAGACTTTCCTTGGCCACTGCCGTCTTTCATAGTAGAGTGCCTCTGATAGGACACTACCTGTGAACTCAATGAGAAATAATTTCTGGCAATTTCCATAGGGCAGATTTCTAGCAAGTTTTCTTGCCTTCAGTTAGCTATGCCTATGCCTTCTTTATCAATGCCTGGATCTTAGCCCTGGTGCAGAGGTGAGGGCATAGGGGAGTAGGAGTCAGAAGAACTTTTCTTTGGGCACTGTTTCTTAGCCTTAGGGTTAGTGGTTATTCCTATATATGTAATAACAAGAAACCCTTTATTATCCTGATCACCTGTTTTAGTTAATAATTCCTTGAATTTTTCTTTGTTAAAATAGTTGCATCATTTTTTCTCCTTATGGATACACTAGGGCACTGAACCTGGCTGCTTAGGTCTAGAAACATCATACTTTTCTTTGTCAACCAAGAGGAAGGCAACTTCAACAGGAAAGTGCACATATACCTTTCTGACAGTCATAGAAGGGCTGAATCCAGTAGGTTTATAATCCAGAATTAAGTGTCATTGCTTTCTTCTGAGCTTCACGAAGCTGCTTTCAGACTCTCCTCTTCATGTTTCATATTGCATAATTGATATGGATTTTATACCTTCAAGTTAGTGTCATACATAAATATCTTTTTCTAATATAGCAAAGTTATATAATAGCATGTATAGATTTGGGCCAGACAGATCTGTTTGAATTCTGGCCTAACCATTTAATAGCTATTTGACCTTATAAACTAGTAAATAAACTAGTTTTTCTGAGTCAGTTCAATTTCTCTCTTATGTAAACTTTGGGACAATAGTAACTACTTAAAAGTTTTTGTAGTTGTTAATGATTAAGAACAATGAATATAAAGGTTCTAATATGGTGCTTCATACATAACAATTGTGTTGTACAAATATAATATGCAGCTACTAGCTTTGGGGTAGTGGTTGTTCCTATATAAGTACTAGTAGTAAAATATCAGTAATTATTCAGTATGTATAGAGCATTACATTCTAAATAGTTGAAGAGAAAACAAGGGAGAAGCAAGAGTTATGATCTTAATGCTGAAACCAAACATTTGTTAGGAGCAGATGGTAACCTGTCAGTGTAAAAGAATCTTTTCCTAGTCCTATTTCTTCTCAGAAAGTCCCACATCTGCAGCCTTTAATTGGGCAGTAAAAAGTCAGGATGGAGTCCAGGAGTAGGTATTGAGAGCATCACTGGTCCTGTTTGTTAGGTTCTTATTCAGCACACTGGGCTGATGTGTAAGTGAGAGGGTCTGGATCTTTTTTTTTTTTTTAATATTTTTCTAGTAAATATTTTTCTAGTTGTAGATGGACAAAATATCTTTATTTATTTATTTTTATGTGGTGCTGAGGATCAAACCCAGTGCCTCACACATGCGAGGCAGGCACTCTACCACTGAGCTACAGCCCCAGCCCTGAGGGTCTGGATCTTAACTTTTAACTTTATAACAAAAGTAACTCCAAATTGGATAATGATCATATGATGCCAATAGTCACATCTCCTGCTGCTCTGTGTAAGTATTTTAACACTAATTCAGATTGCCATTGCTCCTCGGGAATAAAGAGAAGGCTAATTTGATATTCAAACCAGGGTGTATATGTTTGGAGAATAGTATGTGTCTTTTAGCTGGGCTCCTGCTGTGATTGAGCCTTCTAAAATAAAACCAAATGTGCTTTCGGTTTGGCGGCAGCCATCAGGTAAGCCAAGATGGGCGCGTACAAGTATATCCAGGAGCTATGGAGGAAGAAGCAGTCGGATGTGATGCGCTTTCTTCTGCGGGTCCGCTGCTGGCAGTACCGCCAGCTCTCGGCGCTCCACAGGGCTCCCCGCCCCACTCGGCCGGATAAAGCGCGCAGACTGGGATACAAGGCCAAGCAAGGTTATGTCATATACAGGATTCGTGTGCGCCGTGGTGGCCGCAAACGCCCAGTTCCTAAGGGTGCCACCTATGGCAAGCCTGTCCATCATGGTGTTAACCAGCTAAAGTTTGTGCGAAGCCTTCAGTCTGTTGCTGAGGAGCGAGCTGGACGCCACTGTGGGGCTCTGAGAGTCCTGAATTCTTATTGGGTTGGTGAAGATTCCACATACAAATTCTTTGAGGTTATCCTCATTGATCCATTCCATAAAGCTATCAGAAGAAATCCTGACACCCAGTGGATCACTAAACCAGTCCACAAGCACAGGGAGATGCGCGGCCTAACATCTGCAGGCCGGAAGAGTCGTGGCCTTGGAAAGGGCCACAAGTTCCACCACACTATTGGTGGTTCTCGCCATGCAGCTTGGAGAAGGCGCAATACTCTCCAGCTCCACCGTTATCGCTAATATGATGTTTGTAAAGTTCATACCTAATAAACAATTTAGGACAGTCATTCTGCTTAAAGGTGTTATTTGTCTGTTAAAACTAGTCTGCAGATTATTTCATGAATGCTTTGTCAAATTATGGAAGTTAAAGTGCAATAATGTTTGAAGACAATAAGTGATGGTGTATCTTGTTTCTAATAAGATAAACTTTCTGTCTTGCTTTATCTTATTAGGGAGTTATATGTCAGTGTTTAAAATATGCTATGTGGTATAATAGGTGTCAAATTCTTTAAAAAGAGGGGTGCTGGAACTAGCCCTATAGATTTGTTTTGGTGCATGTGACAAAACCTACAACTTAATTGGGATGATGTAATGCTCCAGTAGTGGTTGGGCTTTTGGGAGTGTGGCAGTTCAAACTTTAGATTTTGATTAAGATGAGAGGAGGATATCCTAATCCTATAACATGGATATATGCATTCAATTTTAAAGCCCACATTTTCAAATTTAACTCAGTGTTTCATTTGTGTAATTGCTGCTTCTGAAAGGGGAAAAGCTTCCCAAATGCAGTCAAACTTTCAGAGGAATAAATCTGTTGTGAGAAAATTAAAAGAATCTTAGAAATTAAAAAAAATCTAGGCTAAACAAAATTACAAAAGTCTTCACCATGTCCTATAAGTTCACATAAAGAGTAAAAGCTGGTTTAATAACGTGGCTTGTTGGATCCAGCATATTGAACTTATTGCAACAGTTTTCTGTGACATTTACATCAGTGTATTTTTGAAACAGGTTCGAGTATTCATTGTTTAACTTAAGATTTGTAGGCTAGGGTAGCTGGTGAATCAGTGGCTTTTGCTAAGTATTTGCAAGATTAGAAAAAAGTCCCGATTAAGATTTTTAAAGTACATAATGCCAGTTTGAAACCATATTGAATCCTCAAGCCACATGTGCAAATGTATGTCTGGCTATTTAAAAGCACTTATTTGCTCAGTCAGGTCACCAGGAACTCACACAAGGGTACTTAAAACGTTGTTACCTGTGTAATTTTATGTTGTGTGGCTATTTTTCTCATTCCTGGTGAAGCAATCCTCCAAATCTTTGAGTTGGTCCATCAATTAAGTATATTACCACGTTGTTTCATTTCTGTTAATCTTTTCCTGTAGATTAGGCTGCTCTTTCCTAGGGTGAAGTTGAATGTGGCGGAGGAATTGCCCCTTAGTCTAATTCTGGGTTTGCTGACATTATAGGTGTTTCAGTTTTAAAATCTAATTGATGCCCTTCTTGAACTGATTTTTCTTCAGCAATTTCAAGTCAGTTGATTTCCAGGAAATAATCTGAAGCAGGCTCATAAAGCCTTGAGAATCAAATTCCTTTCTACCCAACAAAACAAAAGCCCATACATTTTGATTGTGTGTAGAAGTTGTTCAACTAAAGGAATAAATGACTATTAAACAAGTGGAAAAAAAAAAAAAAACCAAATGTGCATATTACTTGGCTTCCTTCTCTTATATGTGACATAAGAGATTCCAGTTCTTGCCTGGGACACCATGTCCTGGCTGAGCTTCTGGTGTGTCACATCTGCTTCTGTGTCTGTCTCTGTACCTGTCAGCAACATTCATGAGTGAAGGAATGAGCTAAAATGAAAGTGATTTCTGTAGTTGAAGTTCTGGTAATGACCTTTACCAGCTCTGGCTAAGTAGGTTATGTCTGGATGGGGCTGGTCTTCTGTGCAGATAGAGTATGTGGTATTCTTTGGATTAAGTTACTGAAGACTCCTGTGAACATTGACTACTTGATCTGGTTTAAGATTCTGTGAGCAATGCAAACAAATGAATTCATTTTGATCGTCAGAAGACTGAGGTGAATGCTATAAGTTTTATAGATGAGAAAACTGAAGCTCATGTTAAGGGATTTATTACTATTTATATAGTTAATAATTGGAGTTTATTCAATGAAGATTTTCTATAGCATCTCTGTGCCCAATACTTTCCAAGAGGTAGGGATATAGCAGAAACCCAGAGAGAAATATCCCTGCCTTCAAGGAGCTTACATTTATAATGGTTAAGGACAAAAAGAATTTAAATAATACATATAGTGAAAAGTGCTAAAGAGATCTATAAAATAGAACAGGGGAGCAAAGAGTATGTGTGTTGGATTGCAGCTTAGACAGGGTGATCAGAAAAGTCCTCACTGAGTAGGTGGCATTTGAGCAGAGCTCTGAAGGAGGTAAGGGATTAAGCCATGAGTACATGTATAGGGAAGAGCATGCCAGGCAAAGGGATCAGAATGTTTCAAAGGTGTGAATGCAGAAATATGCCTGGTATGATCAAGAAACAGCAAAAAAGTTAGCAAAACTGGAGCAGAGTGAGCAGAAGGGACAGCAGGTAACAATAGTCCAATTATGTAGGACCTTATAGCTACTGTAGAGATTTGGCTCTTACTGAGAATGGAGAGTTTTGGCAGAGATGTGCTATGATCTGACTTGTTTTATTTTGTTATTTTTATTTACATATTTTTTTTGGTACTGGGGATTGAATCCAGGGGTGCTTTACCACTGAGTACATCCCCAGTCCTTTTTATTTTTGTTATATTGAGAGAAGGTCTTGCTAAGTTGCTCACATTGGTCTCAAACTTGTGACCCTCCTGTCTCAGCCTCCTGAATCACTGGACATGGGCCACTGTACTTTGCTGACTCTTGCTTTAAAAAAAATCAACTTGAAGAATAAACTGGTATTAAGAGGTTCTAACAAGGGGCTGGGGTTGTGGCTCCGTGGTACAGCACTTGTCTAACCTGTGTGAGGCACTGGGTTCCATCCTCAGCATCATGTAAAAATAAATTTTAAAAAGGTATTTTTTAAAAACAAAGAATACTTAAGCTATGATTCAAACTAGGTGGCACATGCCTGTAAATCCCAGCAACTTGGGAAGCTGAGGCAGGAGGATCACAAGTTCAGGACCAGCCTCAGCAATTTAATAAGACCCTGTCTCAAAATTAAAAGGACTGGGGATATAGGTCAATGGTAAAGTGTTCCTGGGTTCAGTCCCCAGTGCCAAAAAAACCCCCCAGAAAAACAGCTTGATTTATCCTCTGCAAATTAAAAAATTAATTAATAAAAGGTGCATATATTTGTACATGATGGTTTTTGTTTTTGTGTTTGTTTTGGGTATTGGTGATTTAACCCAGTGTCACTTAATCACTGAGCCATATCCCTAGCTCTTTTTTATTTTATTTTTGAGACAGGATCTTGATAAGTTGCTGAGGACGGCTTTAAACTTGCAATATTCATGCTTCAGGCTCCTGAGTCTCTGGGAGTACAGGTGTGAGCCACCACACCTGGCTGTATATGTTGTTTTGATACAGGCATACAATGTGGAATGGCAAAATTGAGGTAATTAACATATATGTCACCTCACATTTGTGTGTGTGTGTTGAGAACACTCAAAATCTTTTAGTAATTTTAACTGAAATTTTGTATCATTTGACCAACATCTCTGCAATCCCGAATACCCTCAGCCTTTGGGAAATACCATTGTACTGTCTGCTTCTATGAAATTGACTATTTTATTTATTATTATTATTATTATTATTTTTATTTTTGGGCAGTACTGGGGATTGAACTCAGGGCCTCACACATGCTAGGCAAGTGCTTTTGCCACTGAGCTACATCCCCAGCCCCTAATTTGATTATTTTAACATCTACATACAAATGAGATCATGTGGTATTTTTGTGCCTTGCTTATTTCACTTAACATAAGGTCCTCATCTTTATCCATGGTTTCACTAATGGCAGGATTTCTTTCATTTTAAAGGCTGAATAGTATTCAACTATGTATATACAGGATATTTTCTTTATCCATTCATCTGATTATGGACACTTAGATTGATTCCATATCTTGGTTTTTGTGAACACTGCTGCAATGAAGATAGGAATACAGATACCTTTTCAATAAACTGATTTTACTTCTATAATCCTAGTAGTGAGATTGCTGGATCGTATTTTGGTTCCAGTTTTAATTTTATGAGAAACCTCCATATTGTATTCTATAATGACTGTATCCAGTGACTTTTCCACTAAGAGTGTAAAAGGTTTTCCTTTTCTCCACATCTTCACTAATACTTGTTATCCTTAGTCTTTTGGATAATAGCCATTCTTTCCTGGAGTGAGATGATAGTTCATTGTGGTTTGAATTTGCATTTTCCTGATGAGTAGTAATGTTAAAACCCCTCTTCTTATATTTGTCGATCCTTTGCATGTTCTGTTATTCAACTTTCTGTCACTCTGACACAATATTCCAGATAATCAACTTAAAAGGAAGAAAGATTTATTGTGGTTCATGGTTTCTTGGCCCTTATGCTTTTGGGACCTATAGTGAGGCAGTGTATCATGGGAGGAGCCCATAGAAGGAGAGGCTTGCTTACTTCATAGCAACCAGGGAGAAAAACACCCCCAAAAATTAAAAAAAAATTAAAAACAGGGACAGGTTCCCTATATTCTCTTCAAGGACTTTCCCATTGTCCTAACTTCTTTCAACTGGGCTCCTCCTCCTAAAGTTTTCCCTACCTCCCAGAAATGCTAAAAGCTGGAAACCAAGCCTTTAATACAGGGCTTTTAGGGTACATTTAAAATCAAAATCAAAATCTCTATGAAACTATGTCTATTCAGAGATTTTGCCCATTTTATAGTGAGATTATTTGTTTCTTTGTTTTTGAGTTGTAGGAGTCCCTGGTATATTTTGGATATTAACCCCTTATTGGATATATTGCTTACAAATATTTTTGCCCAATCTGTAGATTATCTTTTTATTCTGTAGGTTATTTCCTTTGCTGTACAGGATTTTAGTTTGATGTAATTCCATTAGTCTATTATTATTTTTGTTTTTATTTTTAGAACTCGGGAGCATGAACATTAAGCTACATCCCTAGTCCTTTTTATTTTTAATTTTGAGACAGGTTCTCCCTAAATTGCTGAGGCTGCCCTTGAACTTGCCATCCTCCTGCCTCAACCTCCCCAGTTGCTGGGATTACAGATGTGCACCACCACACCAGCCAATTTTTGCTTTTATCGCCTGTGCTTTTGGTGTCTTACCCAAGAAATCATTGCCAAGGGCAATGTCAAGAAGCTTTTCACCTGTTTTCTTCTAGGAATTTTCCAGTTTCACATTTTACATTTAAGACTTTAATCCATTTGGAGTTGATTTTTGTGTTTGGTGTGAGATAAGGGTCCAATTTCATTCCTTGGCATGTGAATATCTAGTTTTCCCAGCAAATTTGTAAAAGAGACTGTCCTTCCCCCATTGTATATTCTTGGCACTCTTGTTGAAGATCTTTTGACTACATATGTGTCTGTTTATTTCTTGGCTCTTTATTCTGTTCCATTGGTCTCTGTCTTGATTTTTTTTTTTAATTAAAGGGACTCGGAAAGGGTCTGTGTAAGGGAGGGATGCTGATGCTTAAGCTTCATTAGCTTCACAAGGAACTGCCTCTGACTGAGTTACTATGGTTTCATTGTATGCCCTGAGAACAAAGCGATGAATAATTTATAGTAATTAGTTTTAACATCTAGACTATTCTAAAGTTTCTCTCTGGTTTTCATTCTTATCTCCTCCAAACTTCCCAGTATACATTGGCGTTCCCTCTCTCTCTCTCTCTGTGTGTGTGTGTGTGTGTGTGTGTATGTTTGTTTGTTGCTGGGGATCAAACCCAGAGCCTTGTGCAAACTAGGCAAGCACTCCACTACTGAGCCACATCCTCTGCCCTCATTTGCTTTCTGTTGCAACTTTCCATTGGCTGCAGGAGATGATCTATTCTATTAGGCATCAGAATCATTTGGTGGGAGGGGAATACAAAATGCAGATGCCATGGTGCCATCCCTAAATCAACTGAGTCAAAGTCACTGAGATTTTTATGTAAAATCCTTCATTTAAAGTCTCTCCAGTTGATTGTGATGCAGATAGCCACACTTTAGTAGTAGGTAATGGACTATGGCCAAAACACCTTAATATGGGATATCATCCATACAGGGTATTGGTCTAGCTGAACTTCTCAGCCCCATTTTTCCTATTCTTCAATGTAGACCCTTTCCAAATATGCCTTGTGTATTCTTGACTGTTCTTTGATGAATTTGTTTCACTTTGGCCTGAATGCCCGTTCTCTCTTCAATGTGTCTCTGAATGATAGCCTTTTCTTAAGTTCTAGTTCAGGTCTAGTCTCTATCTTGATGCCTTTGCTTAACAAACAGCCCACAGAGATCTCTCTAGTCTCCATGCTTCAAGAATATTCATCAGCAACCTTGTCATATTTATTGCATTGTTTTTACTTCTAAGTCATGTCTGTTAACTAGACCAAGAAATATCCCTGGGCAAGGTCCATTTCTTTAACTTTTTGCATCCCCAGGGATCTTTCTTGCCTAACGCATAGCAGGCAGAAAAACCAAAAGGAGGCAGCATGAAGAGTT